TTCGATATCGCATTTGGGAAGAAGAAGCAAAGCACAAGTTCCCTGGCTGTGGTTGACCTTGAGCTATTTGTTGAGTACACAACACTACCAAGGCCGATCAAGGAATCTCATGTGTGTTCCAACAGTCCGGAGGATGCGTCCATGCTACTGATCGAGTTTGCGAACAAGTACAATCGTGAGTGCAAGCAACACCGCCCAACCACCAATCAATAGTCGAGGCAACGTGGCGTACCACTGAGTGGATTTTAATGCTTCATTTCAGTGGTAGTTGGCCATAATTTCCAATCAGCACTCTTCACATTGAGCTTTCCTTGATTTTCTTTTGCTAACGTACAAAACCCTCTTTATATATTTCGATTCAAATGAAAATATTTATGTAGGTATTACATATTCTAATTATCTTGGTCGCATGCAATCCTTAGCTTATTATTTGGGCTGTTTAAGTTTTATCGTGCATTAGTTAAACCCAAATCCCTTTTTTTCATAAATACATGGAAAGATTGACATATGTATATTCTTGATTTAGTTTAAAGTATTTTTATTTGTCTTGAGATTGCATATTGCTCTGTATACACTCGGTTAAGTTTAATCCTTTTATATCGCGTTTAACTATGAAAATTCAAGTTTTATAACCATTTTTATGTCATAAATATATTGGTATTCACCAGAACAAACTCATTTGCCATCAAAAAGGGAAATTTCAACTAATAATTTCTTCATCCTTCAATTATCCAGGTCGACCAATCAGCAAATGCTTAATTCTGATTGGTTGTTGTTTTTTGACATAGAAGTATAAGTTTCCTTATTTACGTGTATTGTCACTCATTGCTTCCTTGTTTCCAATCCGTTGGTCTTCCGCCATGAGTTCTAATAGTTCACAATCAAGTTATAGGACGGAGGTGACTGCTAAGTCACGCAATAAATGCGTCGCATTCATGGTTAATAATTGGTTTATGTTCGCAACCCTTCTTGGTGTTATAATCGGTTTCGGTATTGGATTTGGTGTAAGGACTACAAATCCGAATGCCACAACGATAACGTGGATTTGTAAGTTAATAATGATTCCCCGTCCGTTTCCAGTATTTTTACGCGATGCTTCTACTGTATGTTAGTTGATTATGTCTGTACACACTCGCGTGGCAGTTGATTTGATGATGATAATAAGAACATAACATTAGGAGAAACAGTTGTTCACAAAACGCATCATTAAAGGAGATAAAACCTAACTGCTAGAAGCCTAGTTTGATCTACTGGACAGATGCTCTTGGAAACATCTAGAATTTTATTCCACTACGCCGGTCGAAACAGCAACATCCTAATTTTGACAGTTAGGAATTTGGGATTAAATCTATGCAGTTACTGGTAATATTCTAGGATCGTATTCATAAATCACTTAATTGTTCAATTCTTTACTCTAGCAATGATCGGAGATATCTACCTACGTGTTCTCCAACTCACAATCTTGCCTCTGATTACATCAAACATTCTCGTTGGTAAGTGGATATTTTCCATACATTAAGTAGCCTTTTATTGCGAAGGCCTCGTAAAATTGATGTTATCTCCATTATCTCCCAGTTATTGCCTCTTTGGAGCCAAAAAAGAACGGTGCAATCAGCGTCGTCGGTATCTGCTACATCATCGTCGTAAATTTCATCGGAAGTATAATCGGAACGGCGTGCTCATGCATTATTAAGCCAGGTCAGTTTATCTCCCAAATTCTTAGTTTTATCTACTGCGAGGACTAGTTAATATATCGGCGAGATTTGCGAGTAATTGTATTGAAATTGATTAATGTGATATTGGAAATTTAAAGAGTAATATTTTTGCCGTATTTCAGGTACCCACGGATTAGTGAAACCGGAGGAACCTGACACTCCTCTTGTTGGCAGTGGACTGACTGCTTCGGACATTTTCAAGGACATATTCTAGTAAGATATTTTCAGCAAACATATAAATAAGCATTTTAGCACATATTCTAGTCCTAGTTACTCAATGCGTCTATAATGTTTTAGCTGCTTTTCATTACTAAGATTCAAAGGCTTTATTAAGTTTATGCGATCACTTTTTCCTCATGAATCCAACATGTAGAGAGACCCCCAGTTAATGAGGAAAGCTTATTATTAATTGTAAGAAGAAAGCAGAGAGAGAGACACAAAATAAATTTCTGCGCCGTAAGTCATATATGAATTTGATTTACTAAAGTGATAACGAATAACTGAGTTACTGGAGTTTGTTTTTGGAGATCACTTCGAGGAAAAAAATCATTGGCTAACATTAATATGCTCGTTTCAGCCAAGTGGACTTCGCATGTTCATAGTGCAGTGGAACTGTAAAGCGATTTCTTTGTAAAGATAAAATAATAAAGGCATGACTCGTCTGTGCATGTGGCGTCCCCAATTCCTTATTACTAGTATTATTGTCAAATCACAAAGGCTTTATCCGTATAGCAATGCTCAAGAGGGATATTTATTCATGACTCTTACTAATTTCTTTCGAAAAGCAAATCTCAATGTCAACTTCATTCCTTTGAGATCGGACCGCGATTAGAGGATTGTAAACACCGAGCACATGTCGATATTAGTCCTATTTCAGGCTTCGCTCAATTAATCGTTTGGAAATTTTAGCAATTTCTTCCCAGATAACATTGTTGGAGTCACCATATTCCAAGTAAGTTAGAACCACCGACAGTAAAAGTGATAAATGCCTTCGTAAATCATCAAAGCTATTTTGCCTAAATTAGTACCGAACTGAAGTAGTCAATTACACCACAAATGAAAAAGAAGGCAATTCCATGAAGGGAGGAACAAACATGGTCGGTGTTCTCTTCTGCGCCATGGTTTTCGGTGCCGCAGCTAACGCTGTGGGCGAAGTTGCAAAGCCAATGGTCCTATTCTTCAAGGCCGTTGCCGCAACCGTCTCTAAACTTATGAATGCTTTTCTAATGTAAGCCAAATATATATGCATATATATATATATATTTTTATTGGAATATTGATTGCATGCTTCAAATAGATATAACAAAAAATGATGCACATTGAGTTTATTAAACAGATACCAAAAATAGTAAGGTTAATTATTTATTTAGAGAGCAAGAGAGGGAACAGGCAGAAGTACAGGAACAAAAAGGCAAATAATGAGGCAAATAAAGAGGTGGGGTGTGGTGGGGGGGGGGGGGAG